ATTTCTTCATTTATGTAGTCGTTGAACAGAGTCTTGTGGCTGTGTTTATGGGTTTTTTTTAAGTGTATTGATTTTTGTGTGATGTCTTGAGCGGAATTACAGGGGATGTAGAGACCAGTGTGTATGTGTGTTCTTGCGGTGAATTTTGGTTTTAAACTGTGTGTCCGATCTAATAATGTTGAGGTTAAGAAAATATAACTGTTTATTGTTTTCGTGTTCTGTGGTAAATTTGATGTTGGGATGAATGGAGTTTATGTGTTCAAAGAAAGTTAGTGTGTGTTCTATAGAAGTGAAACCAGCAAAAGTGTCATCGACATATCTGTACAAGTATTGTGGGGGATGAAGCGTGTTTTGATCTCGGTCATAAATATATTGGCAAGAACGGGCGAAACCGGACTGTCCATACTTAAACCATCTACTTGAAGGAAATGTTCGTTGTTGAAAATGAAGTTGGTTTTAGTCGTTGTAAATTCTAAGAGAGAAGCAAAAAGTGTGCTGGGGATGTGTATTAACTCGTTGGGGTCATTAATGTAGAGGTCGAGTGCAATATTGCAAGCTTCATTGGCGGGGACTTCGGTGAAGAGTGACACGACATCAAAATTAAGGCTTTCGAATTTAGTTGTTCTAGTGTATATTTGAAATTGAATGCATCTTTAAAAAATGAACCTGCAAATGTTACATATGGTGTGAGAGCCGAGGCTATGTATTTACCAAGATTGTAGTTGAAGGAATCATATGTGGACAGTATAGATCCTGTTTGTGTTGTTTAGGAATGCCATAGAGTTGTGGTGTGCGTGAATCAGTTTTACGTAGATAAAAATAAAGATCGTCAGTAATTAAATTATCTTTTTTCATTTGTAATAAAGTTCTGTTTAGTTGTTTTTCGTGTGTGTTTGTTGGGTTGTTTGGGATGGCTTTGAATTTCTTTTTATCGGAAAGGATGTCGTTCATTTTGTCGATATATTCTGAATTTTTCATAATGACAGTGGTGTTGCCTTTATCAGCTTTTAGAATTTTAATGTGAGAGTCTTTTTAAAGATTATAAATGGATTTGGTCTCGTTACTTGTGAGGTTACATTTCAGTTTACGGGATTGGTTGACTATATCAATTGTCTTATTCGAGAAGTTTTGCGTGACGTTCTGAAACGGGTTTTTTCATCCAGTTCCACTCCCCAATCCCCACCCTTTACCAAGCACTAGAGTTTTTGCAAGCCGTGTTTGCGAGCTTACTTACAATTTGCACATATTTTGTCGGAGAACATCTAAATTGGCGAAGCGTGATATTTTGTGGTGAAATAACGCAACAGGTTTGTTTTTTATACTTCTAGGATATGGTTTTTCCTATTTTGTTTTATAACTTGACTTGAAAATGATAGCTACCAAGACAACCACCCGCTTTCATAGCTATGCTCGATGCATGCATGTCTTTACATACTTAACTAATTATACGCTTGTAATGTATATGTCGTTGATAACATATTGTTGTAACACCTCAGTTCATGTATAGTAACAAGAATAACTAATGTTATTAAGGTGTTGGTAGTAAGTAGTAATCATAGAAATAATCACTGTGAACTTTAACAAAACACAGGTATTTAAAAATGATTTTGATCACTTAATGATACAGTTTATTTAAAAAAAATAACAGTTGTATAACACAGATCTTCTTTATTTACAAACCTGACTTAAACAGAACAGGTTGTTTTTGGTCGCCATCCTCACTTATATAACACAGGATAACTTTGGTCACCAGTTTTGCTTGTTTCGTCACGACCCTCACTTATAACACAGGATTTATTCATCCAGCGTTGTACCTTACATAGGTCTTACTTGATCAACACTCTAAACTGCATACACAACTCACAGGTCATATTTGACCAATAATCCTTCGACAAAGAACACGGGTTGCTTTTAATCACCACCATCACTTATTGGTTTTATTTGGTCACCCATCATACTCACTTTTCAGCATAGGGCACTTTCACGTATCTGCACTGAATATACTATGTAGTTCTAGGGAAATATTACAACTCACCAGTGTTTCCCCCAGTGATGATCACAGTTTTTCCTCTGAGATCCCTCTTATCTTTACAAATACCAAGCGTTAGAGTAGAGTAGATTTTGAGCAAGAAGAGCCCTCCAACAGCTAGGACTAACACCTTCCATAAGTTACAGAGGTGAAACAGATCAGTGCGATAGTCTGCTAAGAAAGTTTTAAGTACCGTCCATGTCCATTGATCCATATCAGCTTCCCTAACACTGACCTGAATCAAAGATTAAGAGTTTAGTTGGAAAAATGAGTCACAACTTCATCGTAATTTTTGAAATTTCTTTCTTTATATAATTCAAAGCGAAAAGATTTTATAATAAAACAGAGATAATATAATTGTATCTTTATATCAAGAAATGCTTTTGGTATTTTCTGAATACAATACCAAGATATGTTATCAGACACTTACAGTCACAAATAGATGTACAATAATTTAGTAACAAAAAGATTCTCTAACTCTTATTCATCGTTCAAATGATTCATAAGTCCTAAATTGCATCAAAACACAGCAGTGAAAAAACAAAAAACAAACAAGTGTTGAATTACTTTATGTGAAAACTAAGAAAATAACTCACAATAATATGTTTATTGCTTTCTGATAGTTTCGCTGGCTGAAGATAGAATCTCGAAATTTTGTACATAAGTGAAAACTGTTTATATATTAAGGATATATAATCAAATAATGCACACTATATACAAATATAAAGAATGTGATATGAATACAAACACAAAATAAAAAACTGTTTATATATTAAGGATATGTAATCAAATAATGCACACTATATACAAATAAAGAATGTGATATGAGTACAGACACAAAATAAAACAACTTTGAATACCTGTTAAACTTGGAGTCGATGAAAGAATGCGCAGAACACAAACCAAACTGTTTTAATACAGTTCTTTATACAAACACGCTAAGATTTACTCTGTTCCTTTGTCTCCAGTGAAAGTGCTGAGATGAAGTCGCTGTTGAGACAGACCTAAGGCGCATGACTTAGTTATGTCTCACGTGACTAGTGTTTCAGTAAAATAACCACTTCGCCGAACAACCTTATTTTCTTGTTGATGGACTTTTTTTACACACTGACCTATTTTGAATATTAGCTGTGATAATTTGTCACCCATTTGTTGTTAATCGGATATTCTTCTTGGTTTATGGGGGTAAATTGAAATACTTGACAGATTTCTCGTTGGTAAGCTCTAGCAGAGCAGAACATACTTAAAACTGACACTTTGAATTATTCATATCATTCTCGGCCTTAGTAATTACTATGAATTATTTAATTAACTTTCTTTCTCTGGAGTAAATGCATTTCTCTGTATGGTTTATACTAGTCTTCACCAGCAGATTGAACGTTTTAAAATGTTACTATGTATTGTTTTTATTAATAAACAGCGTAGACGGTATACATTTATATTATGTACTGTTTATATTAACCAACAGTGTAGACGGTATACATCTATATTATGTACTGTTTATATTAACCAACAGTGTAGACGGTATACATCTATATTATGTACTGTTTATATTAACCAACGGTGTAGACGGTATACATCTATATTATGTACTGTTTATATTAACCAACA